CGACGGGCGGGAGATGCTGGGTGGGCATGAGGTGACGGTGCACACCGACCAGACGGTGCCGGCTGTGTATCGAGATCGATTCGATGCCGCCGATCCCCCGTGCCGACGTGAGAGAGGGGAGGTCAAAGCACCACAGAGGAGGCAACTTGACCTGGACGGTGTCTGCCGCTGTGTGTCTGTGTGTCTGCAGACCTTGGTGACGACTTCGGCAGCTTCAGAGGACGGATCATCCTCAGGTACGCAGCGACACAAATGAGAGAACACAGCACACCAATGTGTCGTGTTGTCTGCCTTTTCGCTCCCTGCTCTTTCAGGTTGGAATTGGTGTCGTCCCGTTTGGTGTCGAGTCGGTCCTTGGATCCGCCCTCCGCCGAGCACGGTCGCATCGCTGGGCTCATTGACCAGCAGCCGCCCGTGTGGGGCTGCCGCACCATCGACTACGGCCACACCGCTGGCTCCTGCCGAGTCGTCATTCTGTGTGGCGACGAGGAGGGCGACGACTTCATGGCATGCATCATCATGGCCAAGTACCCTGGTGCGTCGGCACACATCGAGCTCCGCACCACCGAGGCGCCCCAGGGGTGCGCCAGTGGTCATGCTGCCTTCCACCGGGCAGTGGCCATCGCCCGCAACAAGACGGGCGACGCCATCACGCTACTCCCAAAGGTCAACGAGGCCATCACAACAGGTACACACGAATGATAAGGGGCGGGAGACGCAGATACGCACACACATGGCATGGAGTGCGCCTTCGTGTCGCTCTGAATGTTAGGTGCGTTTGCGTCTTCGGCCACCGAGCGGCGACCGACCTTCCAGATCTTCTACATAAACATCCCAGGTCAGACACATAGACTCTCACGAACCAGTCTCCACATTGTCTCCATTTACATGCAGGCAGGACCAGAACGCTGGACGTCCACCCCAGCGACACCATCGAGAGCGTCAAGGCCAAGATTGAGGAGAAGGAGGACATTCACCCCGGCCACCAGCGACTCATCTATGGCTGCAAGCAGCTCGAGAACGGCCGCACCCTGTCGGACTACAACATCCAGAAGGAGAGCACACTGTTCCTGTATTAGTAGGTATGCATTGGACCGACCTTGGTTGGCTCCCTCCGTTGAATGTTCATTTGAGGTGTGATTGATGTATACGCAGCGTCGCTTTTCAAAACTTCTTCTCTTTGCATCTATGTACTTGACGGATTCAATCCGTGTGTTGGTCGCTTCGGTCACATCATCCTTCACCCTTTACTGACCCCAGACACGCCAACTATACAGACACACAGATCAACCAGCCAGACAGCCAGGTGCATGTTTGTCATCCGTCATTCACACACACACATACATCATTCACACACATACGCGATGAAAACTATCAAAGGACTAACTGATGTGGGGGGA